AAAAAATAAAAATAAGTTCCCTTCTTGGAGAAAGTCTGTAGCGAATTTCCACTATAATTTCATTTCTAAAAATAAAAGGAGTGTAAATGAAACACAAGTTTTGGTGTGAGAGAGATTAATGCATTTTGGGGTAGAATTTTGAATTGGCTGATGTAACCAGTACACTGTATACCAAGTATTTTCATACACATAATAGAATAGACTCTAAATGCCAGTCTGTGTATAAGCAGAACAGAGGCTATCGTGACCATTTATAATTGAAGCAATGTGTCAGGAGAGGGTAAAGAGTATTTCCCAAGGACATGCAGATTGGTGGTAAAACCAAGTCTGTAATTTAGTTCTGATTTCTGTCACTTGTATGAAAGAAGCAGTGGGAGTTATTTTTATGGAGTGTTCTTCGTATTACTACATTAAAAAAAAATTCAAAGTGTTACTATGACAATATTTTATCCATTTGATTAAATTTTAATCTACATTTATTTGTATTAAAAGTTCAGTTAATACACTTGATTTCTCAGGTAGCTAATATTGCATACAAATTATGTTTGCTCTCCCTTTCCGGTATTCATCCTTGTGTCTTTTCTGCCATTACACTGCTAGAACTTCCAGAATAATTTTTAATGATGATTGTGAAAGTTGGCAGCTTTGTCCTTCTTTTCCAAAATTAGTGAGCGTGTTTCCATCTACTTTCAGAAAACTAGTTTTCTCGTTTTACCAAGTCTTTTTTTTTTTTTTTTTAAGAATGAGTTGTAAGTCTTGATCAAATTCTTGCTCAACATCTATTGAGGTATCACGTACGCTTTCTCCTTTGAACAACAAGGTTGTTTAGCAGGCATCTTAATGTTGATCCGTAAGAACCATATGCATCTTGCCATATATTTTGCTGTTAAAGAGTTGGCATTGCTGAAGAAATGCAGCTATTCTTTGGCATTTGCTAGAACATGCCAGCAAATCTCTCTGAGCCTGGCATCTCTTCAGGGATGGTTCTGGGGCAGTTGTTATTTTTCTGCCGTGATTATTGTCTGTTTTGTTTTTCTGTTTCTTAGTCACTTTTAAACATGAAAGCTCACTGTGTTGGTGAAATGTCCCAACTTCTGTAGAAAAAAGTTTTTTATCGTATTCGGCCTGTACATCTGAAAATCTGCCTCTTTGTGGTTATTTCTCCTGTCTCGTACCTATTGTTTTACATTTGTTCTTGTCTTTTTCTCCTTTTGGTTTTTCTTCCCCAGAGTTTACTTATTGTAAAAATCAACTCAAACAGATAGCTTTTTATGTTGTTTTTGAAAATTTCTAAGTCTTGATAGTAATTGCTATCAGTAATCTTGATAGTACTTCATTAGTTCCTTCTGCTAATGTTCCTCAGTCTTTTCCCTCCCTACTTTCTCTGGATTATATGGTTGAATGATTAGCTCATCATCTAGCTTTGAAAATTTGGAATTTGCTTTGCCCTGTGGAAATATATGAGCATAATCCTCCAGATTCAGGATTATGGCACTTTGTTTATTTCCTTAGGAACAGATTTATCACTTCATAATTTTAATGTATTAAGTAACCTGTGCCACCTATTGAAATTCATGTCATAGTTTTGTTTTGTGTGAACAAAGAAGATCTTTATTGAGTATTAAGTATACTTTAAGTAACATGTTCATAAATGCAATGTTAAATGATATGTGGGCTTTTTAAATGCAGCGAAGAAATAGAGCAACCTTCTGGTTTACTTGTGCTTCCTTATGGAATTTATACTGTAGACAGATTTTTGCTTTTTGGAGGCAAATATATTACAAGTCACAGATAATTGGCTCCACTGGAACAGAACAGCAGAATTTTTTCTCATCAGTTCCCACCTTTAATTAGGAGGCTCACCTACTGGTGGGTGTGAATTTTCTCATCCCTTTTTTATGTTTTACAAGATATTGCGATTGTTGAGTGACAGCTTTTTAATATTAAAAAAAGCATAGCAAAGAACTGATGTTTGAATTCAGACAGTTTTACCACTTACTTGCCATGTGTAATTTTTTTTTGTTTGTTTATTTTTGAGAGACAGAGAGAGAGAACGAGAAAGCAGGGGAGAGACAGAGAGAGAGAGACAGGACCTGAAGTGGGGGCTCTGCGTGACAGCAGAGAGCCGATATGGGGCTCGAACTCATGAACCACAAGATCAAGACCTGAGCCCAAGTTGGACACTTAAACCAACTGTGCCACCCAGCCGCCCCTTAATTACTTAAATAATTTGGGCAAATTGTTTGATTTCTCTTAGCTTTGGCTTCCCCATCTTTAAAATAGGGATAATAGTTGATTGGTTTGAAGGTGATATGAAGTGTATAAATATTACATAATATAACACTCAGGGGAGATATCCAGATTATATTACAAAGCCAATATAATTATTATTATAATTGTATTATTTTTCTGAAGGTACATAGTAATCAATAATGGAATGACTTGGCTTAAATTATGTGCCTTTGAAATAGAATGGAAACAATAGTTTCACAGATGCTTTCTCATAGCTCTCTACCCATCTTGCCCCAGTTGTCCATGGAAGTCCCAGTAATGGCTTGCATAGTCTGGTAGGGCAGGGAAGAGAAAATAGTCACATTGTTAACAGCCTTTAATAACGATCTATAGGTCCCTACAAAACTTACACGTTAAGGAACCTAGCTGTCCGGAATTTTCGGGGGCAGAAAAAAAAAAAAAAAAAAAAAAAAAAAAAAAAAACATTGGCACCTCTGGAGTCAAGTGGGAGAATTCCAGAGAAGGAATTTGAGTTTGAAAACATTCTATTCAGTCACTGACTCATTCTGTTACCTTAAATGCATTCCTTATCCTTTTTATGTCCTACTTTCTCATGTCTAAACAAAGATGATTTTATTATTACAGATGTCAAAATAGTTTGAGGAAGGTTTAGAAATGATTATTTAAAGAACAACGAAAAGAGAAAACAATTCATTCATACAGCTGGGACGATCCTCAAAGAGCATCTGCAGACCTTCACTTTAGAACTAAAGCAACCATGGGTTAGTTAAAAGGGATCAATAGCTAGTTGGTAGTTGGGTCTAGATTTTATGTGCTTTGTCTACTGTCCTACATTTCTGTTTTTCACTTGGGTATATATATCTCTTTGATCGGGCCTGTGATGTCGTAATGATGATTTAATAGATATTGGCATGAAACCTGAAAACATTTTGGCTTGGGTAAATTTAGCCAGAAACAGAAATTGAAAGTGTTCAAATGCCTAAACACTAATCAAGATACAAACTGGTAAAAAAAAAAAAAAAATCTCTTAGAAAATGATGTGTTTGACTGCATAATCCTGTCTTAAAGCATTATGCAACGTGTGTTCATTCGTTCAATTCAAATTACATTCTCTTGAATCAAAGCTGACTGCCTTGTAGTGTCAACACCACCTAAGCCATTGGATCCATTAAATTGAGTTATTCACTTCCTTGTTTTCATAAACAGAATGCCCTAATTTACTTTCCTCTTAAAGATTTAGTAAAATGCTCCCGTCCATGACACTGAGATACTGCATGATACTGTGTGCACTTTGTGGATTTTTGGGGATCTCCCCTTCTAGGTGGTGGTTAGCTATTACTTTTTTGCTTTAATGCTCACTTTTATTTTTAATACTCCTTTTCTCCATAAGTTTGCTTCAAGGAATACATTATCTACAGGGAAAAACTAATTGAGTTGATTCAGTAGCAAATAACTTTGGATCAGTAATCCTCTGAATGAGGGTTTAAGAAATTGAAATACTGGCTTTAATAGAGGGGTTTACTCTTCACCTCAGAGTATGAGGTTATTGACAGAAGAGACTCCAGATAAACGGTCAAAGTCTCAACCAATGTGATGAAACAGTAATTAAAACAAATTTATATTAAACCTGTTTCTTAATCTGTGGTCCCACTTGATAAACACAAAAATCTCACACCCTCCTCAATGCTACTTGAAAGTGAAACAAGGCAAAATTTGTAATTAAAACAAAGTAATGAGGCAAACCTGTTTTGTTTCAAATCTAATCCACATTCGTCTCCTCTCACCTTCCAGAATTATTAGTAAAGCCTTATGTCTATTGAGAGTCTTTGAGACTATGCTGTGAACACATATCACTCTCGACTCACTGCACTCAAGGTCTAAACACAGTGCAGATGTTTCTTTGCAAATAAAGTAGTGACTTTGATATCTATCAGTTAAAGATCGTGTTCTCACTGTACTGACACAATATTATGAAAACTTGGCTCAAGATCTTTTATCGTGTACTCAGTCAGTTGTCAGAATGCTCATTTCCTTTTGCAGAAACTGATAACAGGTTTCTGTTATTTGTTGGGAATATTTTACACTTTTTATATTTTATACAGTGTCAATGAGAGTATTATAGGACCATAATTAATGAATTGGTGAAGCATTTGGTAACAAACAGCGGTCTCACAGATGCCCAGTAATTGTCAATGAACAAAGTAGAATAAATGGCTGTGTGTTATATTATATACACAAAGATCTGTATTTTTAGGGAAAAATCCTAAATTTATTAAAATATTTTTTTCTGGAGAAAACAAATAATGAATAAAAAAAGCTGTGGAATAATTTAGTGTTTTCTGTGCATTTAACTTGCTTAGTATTATTTAATGGAATTAATTTATGGAAGAAGAAGAATTGTGAGACTTAATATCATGTAAAAAATATACATTAGAGTAATATGGAGGTATGATTTTCAACCAGGGCTTTGGTTCAGTTTTTTTAATGACTTGATATTGAATTTTTTTATTGCACCAAATGTTCTTGTTTTAGCTTTTTCCCAGTATCTGCTTCCTGTTTGGGGAACAGTCTCTATCTGCAGTCTGTATTTCTCTAGGAGACACAAGTGTCTTTGAAGACGCCATTTAAAATTAAATCACATGTAAATCTGTGATAAATCACGTATACTTAATTTTGTCTGAGATTAACCAGAGCAGTAGTATGTGCTTCCTGAGTGATGGAAGCGATGTGGATATAATTTAACTTTTTTTAATAAAGGGTGTATTTTTTTTTGGTTACCATGCCTTGAATTGTCCATATTTCTTTGCAGATAATACGTATGTGTCAAGTTCAGAAAATGATGAAGACGTATTAGTTACTACGGAGCCAATTCCAATAATTTTCCACCGGATAGCAACAGGTAATAGGAATATACTGTTTTTTTAAACTCTAGATTAATGTTTTCTTGGCTATAGGTAGCTTTATTTATTTATTTTTGTTCTTTTAGCCCATGTAACAGATATTTATCGTTAGCATCTATAAATCTGGTGTCCCATACAAATTTTCTGTCTAACTTGCATTAGTTTGTTTTTCAACAGTTTTTTAAACACATAAATTTACACTACTTTAAAAAAGCCCTGTTTAAATGCATTGTGTTGATATTCGCTCTTATGAAAATATTCCATGCATAATGACACTGGTAGACAAAATGAATATTTAAAAAGCTTACTTAAGGCAATGTAGATCCCACAAAATACATAAACGAGAGCTGAAGGGGTCTGTATAGTGGCACTTTGGTTTGACCATATTTTGATGGGCAATGAAAAAATCAGAATAGCTTATATATCATGTAACTTCCTAACATAATATAATTATAAAACATTCCTTAATCTTTTGGCAAAGAGAGAATCACCAGAGGCGTGTTTTTATACTGAAACTTATAAATATTTGATAAATAGCCTGCTGAAAACTAAAGTGATGTTTTATAAATGATGTTTTATAACTTTCTTTCAGAATTAAGGAAGACAAATGACATTAACTGTTGCTTATCCATAAAATCAAAATTACAGAAGGAAAATGGAGAGGTATGGAGGTTACATTTCGTATTTTATACTTTATTCAAAACAGAATACATTGTAAACTTACCTTGTGTTTATAGTTAATATCATTGCTATTTAGGTTAAGACTGTAGGGGCGCCTGGGTGGCTCAGTCGGTTGAACTTCGGACTTCGGCTCAGGTCATGATCTCACGGTCCGTGAGTTCGAGCCCTGCATTGGACTCTTTGCTGACAGCTCAGAGTTGGAGCCTGCTTCGGATTCTGTGTCTCCCTCTCTCTCTGCCCCTCCCCCATTCATGCTCTGTCTCTCTCTGTCTCAAAAATAAATTAACATTTAAAAAAATTAAAAAAAAAAAAAAAGACTGCATATAGTGTATGAAGCACAGGCTTGTGGCCAAGAGACTTAAGTATAGGGAAGGGTAGTGACCTAGAATTAACCCTGAGAAGGAAGCTGCCTTTAACAGAAAAAATGTCTGGCTTAAATCTAAATCAAGTGCACACAAAGCTTAACTTATTCTCTGTATTTGGTCAAGTAATGTAGTTGACTGAGGAGCATCTTCTCTAACTTACAGTTCTAACAGCTGCATGTGGAACCCTTACCATTTCATTTGTAAAAGGTGATCTCTTTACCTAAGGTAGCAAAGAGAAGGGGTATATAGTCTTATTATTAGTGGCCAATGTTAAAACAACATCAATGACAAATTCCTGCTACCCCTTCCTCACCTTTAAAAAATCTGCTAGAATCAGTCAATAAACACTGGGGTGTTAAAAAAAACAAGATGAGTGCAACGGGACTGACAGTTTTTTGCTTTTCAAACTACGCACCCGGAACAAACCCCCCCCGCCCCCCACCCCTTAGTATTGTATTGTTCCCTCTACTCTCCTTCATCCACAGTGAGAACCACAGACTTAGCAATACTGGCCCCCAAACCCAAATCTGTTAGCATTTTATAAAACCCAAATTCCCTTTTGTAGGTTTTTCGTTTTCCTTAAGAATTTGAAATTTGGTCTAGAAATTTAGAAACGATTCCAAAACATTGGGTTGATAGATTCCTGTGTCTAATGGGATTTGCCTTTCTCCTAATTATTTTAACAGAGCCGGCCGAGTATGGGAATATCATCATTAGTTACTTTAGGTAAAATTTTACTGTTTGAACTTCAGACACAAAGCATATGTGGTTCCATTAATTAGAAACTCAGACTTCAAGTTCAAGCATATTTAATTAAACATCCTTTTGAAATCTGAAATCTAAAGTAAATAATTTCTGTATGTAGAAAGTTCTCTTCATAATTTAATTCATATTTATTTTCATAATTTGATTTTTGTATTATTGGAGTTAGAGTGTCTTTTATTTCATACCATTATGTAGAGTTGGTAGTGGAAGTGAGCACGGTCAGGGATAAATAAATAATGCTGAGGAACTTTTTTTTTTTTCAATATTTATTTATTTTTGAGGGAGAGGGAGAGAGAGAGAGACAGACAGACAGACAGACAGACAGAGCATGAATGGGGCAGGGGCAGAGAGAGAGACACACACAGAATCCGAAGCAGGCTCCAGGCTCTGAGCTGTGAGCACAGAGCCCGATGCACGGCTCGAACTTGAAAACCACGAGATCACGACCTGATCCAAACTCTGAGTCTTAACTGACTGAACCACCCAGTCGCCCTAGTGCTGAAGAACTTTTTAATAAACAATTGAATCAGTATGAACTCAGAAACTACGAGATCATGACCTGAGCCGAACTCTGAGTCTTAACTGACAGAGCCACCCAGGCGCCCCAATGCTGAGGAACTTTTTAATAAACAATTGAATCAGTATGAACTTGTCAGATGTTTTTATCAGAACAAAACCAAAGTTGTAGTTGATGACACACAGTTTTATGTAAACATCAAATAGTATATTGTACAACTCAAAATCGATGAAATAGAACTTTTAAAAAAGATGTACAATAGAGCTTACTACACTGACAAAACTGTCTCTTACTGCCTTTTGTTTTTGGCTTGTACTACACCACACACGTTTTTTATATAAAATCCATGTGATAAGCAAGCACAAGACCTATCTATTATGGCCACTTGCTACTTTCTTTTCAAAAGAAGGTAAGCTAATCTGACCATTAAAATTCTTTTCTTAATCTGTTATTTAAGGAGTCAAGACAGAATAGTACAGTGGAAGAAGATTCTGAAGGTGATAATGATTCTGAAGAATTTTATTATGGAGGACAGGTAAGCACATCAGACCCGTCAAATACCCACTCGCAGAGTTCGCAGTAGCCCTTACGCCCTAGTGGAAATCTGTGCTTGTGATCTGAGAGACCTGTGTGTTAGCTCTGGAGCTAACTTGGAAACCTATATAATTTCTCCGTTTCTCATTTCTACATATTTTCAGAAATCAAGGTTACTTTTGCAACTCTTTGACTGTAATCACTCACACTGAAGTTGTCTTGCTTCATCACTGAGATTTTGCAGGCAGCAGCATTGTATCATAAAATAAAAGTTTTTTGACTTTTATATTTCTTAAGCATATTGGGCTCAGTCATTATTTTGAAATGATGACACTTCTAACAAAAGCATGGATGGATGGTTAGTTTTAAATAGAAGATGATTAACCTTTATCAATGTTGATGGTCCCTCATTACTGAGCATCCTTAATGTTTGTATTCATTGTCTTTTCCTCTTACACTGTTGTAAAGTGTTTGTTGAAAAATGTTGATGAAGAAACATCATAATTTATATATATATGAGAATGGCATAGCCGCATATATAAAAGAATTCACTATTTTTCCAGGATCATGTTAAAATTTTAAACCGTGGAGTTGATTTTAGGATTTGGCTATATAAGGCATCTTGTTCGTTTCTGTAAACTTTTTTAAAAAATTATTTTTAAGTTTATTTATTTTGAGAGAGAGAGAGAGAGAGAGAGAGAGAGATTGAGCTAGTGGGGGAAGGGCAGAGAGAGAGGGAGAGCGAGAATCCCAAGCAGGCTCCATCTCACAAACCATGAGATAATGACCTGAGCCAAAACCAGGGGTCAGACCCTTAACTGACTGAGCCACCCAGGTGCTCCATGTTTCTGTAAATTCCTTGATCAAAAAGCTTTGTTATGTTTGTTTGTTTTTTTTAATTAAAAAAAGTGTTTTTTTAATATTTATTCATTTTTTAAGAGAGAGAGAGAGAGAGCTCTCTTGTGAGCAGGAGAGGGGCAGAGAGAGAGGGAGACACAGAATTTGAAGCAGGCTCCAGGCTCCGAGCTGTCAGCACAGAGCCTGATGCGGGACTCAAACCTATGAATTGTGAGATCATGACCTGAGCCGAAATTGGACACTTAATTGACTGAGCCACCCTGGCACCCCTTGATCAAATAGCTTTGTAACTTGGATAGTATAATGGGAAGGTAGTATGTTAGAGTGGTGTTTTAAAGCCAAATTTATTATTGTGTAAAAGAATGCAAGTCAGTTTACTTTTCTGGAATCAAAAACCAGTAATTTATCAATGGAGCATAAACAAGGCTGCAGAGGCATGAACATATACATACAACTGGGCTTCTTCTCTCCAAGAATGCCCGTCCAGCAATGGGATACTTTTCCTAATGATTCTCTAACCAGTGTTGCACTTCAACATTATGCAAAATAATCCTTCCAGTTTGGATTTTTGTTTACACAGCTAGTATTTGCAGAGGGGAAGTAAATGCTTTTTCTCAGTATAGATATTCAGTCTAGAAGTTTTCAGATTATCTGCCAGCCACTACTTGGTTATTTTTAACATTGATCTTTTCCCCATATCAAGGTAGTCTAATTTTCCTTTCAAGCATAGTAAGTTATACTAGACATAGGTGAACCTATGAACTTTAGCGAATATACTGCTGTATTCTCTATTTTTCAGTGAGAAATGTCTATGGCACAACCGGCAGGGTAACACCTGTCCAAGAGATGGTTTGTATTTGATTCTTTTGATTCTCTTCACCATCCCTAAGTCATTTCTAAACCATCCCTTTCCATCAGGTGAACTATGACGGGGAACTGCACAAGCACCCACAGCTTGAAGCTGATTTGTCAGCAGTGAGAGAGATATATGGGCCACATGCAGTTTCTCTCAGGTAAATAAATACCTCTCGTGAATAAAAATCGAAACAATTTGCTAAGCCAGTCATTGGGATTTTTCTGTTGCGTTGTTTAAGTGGAAGTATTCTTGGGCTTAATTATATATGAAAGTTCTGAGGACATTCTGCTGTGTTTTTACTTACACAAGATAGTATGTTTATGGCTGTAAGGATTTTTGTTTTGTTTTGTTTTGGGTACATGTGGTTTAAGGGTACATTGATGCATTAAAAAATTAGTTAATTTGGAGAGTTAGTTGGATAAAATATCAGTCTTAAATAGTGTCGTAATCAAATTCTGTAATAGATTTACCCAGCTGGGTCCGTGCTGTTAATCATAAATCAAGGGCACATGCACGTGAACAATAAAAGTCAATAATGCATTAACCACTGAGGTCCAGAGATCACACTGTGATGTGATCTGACCCCAAAAAAAGAAAGGAAAAAAGGGACATAAATTTGCAGAGTGTTTGTTTGAATGATAATGTAGTTTATCTTTCAGTTACTTAATATATAATTTGGTGATAAATTTTGGACCATTATTTATTGCTTTTAATTATTCAGAAGACCCCACTATCCTTACTTTTTTTTTTTTCTCCTTCATTTAAAAAAGAAACTCTTTCCTGCCACTATCTTAGTTTCCCTCCATGAATCAGATTATTTCAGATTCTTTCTCTTTGCCTAACGAGCAGCCTTCAACTTGCGGTGGAATTCCAGAGCCCTATCCCAGCCTGCCCTGGGTTCCCACCTTGCCCACCCAAACCACAAATGTCCCCATCCTCCAGTTCTCTGTGATCCCTCTTGACCCTGGGCATTTATCTGAACTTGTTTCTTACCAAGAGATGCTTCACTCTCAACCCCACTGCTGTTGTTATTCAAGCCACAGTCCAAAGGCCACCTACTCCTTGAGCCTTCTTTGAATCTCCACTGCAGGTTAGTTGTTCTGTCCTTCAGACTCCCATCACATTTGGCTCTATCCTCATTTATTATACTTCTCATATCCTGTCATTATTGCTTTACTTCCCCTCCTCATCCTAACTTATGTTACTGCTGGGACAGTGCAGTTGGTTTTTAAAGTTTATTTATTTTGAGAGAGAGAGTGTATGCGCCGGTGCATGGGAGGTGGGGGGGGGGGGGGGGGGGGAGAGAGAGAATCCCAAGCAGGCTCCTTGCTGTCGGCTGCGAGTTTGGCCCAGGGCTCGATCCCACAAACCGTGAAGTCATGACCTGAGCCGAAACCAAGAGTCAGACACTCAACTGACTAAGCCACCCAGGTGCCCCTGGGACAGCGCACTTTTTGTTGTTTGCTTTATTTTGTTTTGTTTTGGTTTTTAACCATGCTTGTATTTTGGTACTTAATATAGCACAGGGGACTATGTGAAATATGGGCTAATGGATTCTTGATCAGTTCCAGTGACATCCATGAAAGATGTTCACATTATCTGGTTGCATTCTCTTCCATGGACATACCCAGATTTTGAGAGAGCAAACAAATACTTTAAGTTGGAAAGTACCACACAACTAAAATTTATAATTGTCAAGTGTTTCATTTTAACTTCAGAAACAAACTCACCACCACCTGCAGCCTAAATAAGCTGGGGTTGTATGCACAGATCCACTCTTTCCCACTCCCAGAGCTCTGGTAGGTTGCAGTTGAGTGAGAATGATTGGGATTATATTTGGAAAAGCAAATATTTGCAATTTTCAAGGTTTTAGCAAATGAGCTGCAATTATATCTCAGTTGATCTCTGCTATGGCTCCAGGCTAGGGAATGTGGATATTCAGTAAGTGTGTTAGAACGAATAAATGAAGAAGGCATTAGGGATTTAATCAAAAAATAATCCAAAACAATGACTAATGTTTTAACTTGAGTCAGAATTTGCTTAACAGCTTAAAACTTTGATCACAGTGATTTAATCCCCTCCCCCACTAAAAAAATGGATACAATTAATCATAGAATACAACATGCAATTCAACTTCTTTTCATTTGAAATACGTATTTTGGGGGAGGATTACCTTAGCACATGTTGATTGCTCATATAGTGAAGGATTTTTTAAATACATAGTTCCATGCTGTCTAAGCTCTAACTATACTGTTATGTGTGTGTGTGTGTATATATATATGTGTGTGTGTGTGTGTGTGTGTGTGTATATATATGTGTGAATTTGTTTGTTTCTTCAGCAAGAATTTATTCAGTACCAATGATCATCTCTATTAGTATTTTCCATTATTAATAAAATTAAAATTATTGATAATTTATCAACTCTTGAAATTGGATAAATATTTGGAATTTCATTCAAATGAAATATCTAAAGTCACAGAGTTTGATTTTGTTTCCCTCTTCCGTATTTCACTTACAAGTTTTGATTCAATTTGAATCTTCATGAATATAAGCCATGTTCCTGCCTGCTGTAGACTTACTCTATCTACAGAGGATGTTTCCCGAATATATAACCTCCCAGAGGCCTCATGGTATAAAGTATGAATCACAGCAGGACTAATCTGATTTACTTGAAATAAATACGAATGAATTTACTGTGTAGGATCAAATACTAAGGCTTGGGCACATGGCAAAGGCAGTAGTTAGGCATAAGGTCCTGGAATCTTCTTCCTTGCAAAGTTCTTAGTCTGTTGAAAACAGACTGTTCTAATTAGGTGTTCTTTTACTTAATTGAGGTTTATAAGAACTTAATGGAGTTTGAAGAACAAAAGTACCTCTATATACATAATAGGCTATTTGGTGTCATTTTTTTTTTATGTGACACCTAATGAGAAAGGCAGCTAACCACATCTAAGTTCTCTTCAAGAGATGGAAATAACTAGGATTGCTTCACTTGAGACAAAACCTCTTAAAGTCAGTTGAAGGAGGATATAGAAACAGAAACTAATGACCAGTTTATTACTTAAGTAAGTAATTTCTGCTGTACATGGCCATATCATTCAAAAGCAGAATCCTGGCTATATCAAACTGTGATTCTAAACACTGGTGACAATTCCAATCCATAGGCTCTTGTATTGGAAGTGAGTTAGGTCTCTGGGAAAGGCACAAAAAACTATTAGTTTATCAGCCTGAATGAACATGTCTCATCTTGAATAATTCAGCAAAATGAAGATATATTTATGTTTTTCATTATAAATTTTCTCCTATAGTCCTGTATTTACAAAA